GATCTAACAAAGCCACTGGGAATCAAAATGCAAAGCTAGCCACAGCCATAGAGTCAGGCAGTGGTGATACACACCTTTAATCCCAGCAGCCACACTAGGTAGCGATAGAGTGGTGGTGTGTATACACCTTTAATCCCAGGACTCAGGAGACAGAGGGAGATAGCTCTCTGTTGTTTCAAGGCCACACTGTGCTACACAAAATTGATCCAGTCTAAAGAGAAACAGCTCACACAACGGAGATCTCAGGACTTGGGATCCCACGCCTTTAATCCTAGCTCCAGAGAAGTATATAAAATAGGAGCAGGGCATTCAGTATTCAGTCTCATAGAGTTAGTCTCTTGGCACGTTGAGGAGAGCATAGCAGTCTAGAATTGCATTCTGAGGCTTCGTGGAGAACAGTGAAGTCTGGATTGTACTCTGCAGATTTGTGGAGACAGGATCATCCATTTTGGCCTGAGGTAGAGGTTAAGAGCCAACGGTCGGCTGCTTTGCTTTTCTGATATTCAGCTTGAAGATTGAACCCTAATATCTGGTCTTTGGGTTTTTATTATTCGTGTTACACATATATATAAAGGTCTTTCTTCAGGCATCAGGTTAGTAATGGAAAATTGTGGAGAATGAGGCAACTTCCTCCTTCAGTCACTCGTTCTTGATCCCCAGTGTTGCCAATACGCAGAGCAATTTCTAAGCCAAATGTGCCATCATAGAACATGATTCCTTCTCAGAATCTTCCCTCACCCACATCTATGTTCCATTTCATCCCCAGTCTTCTTGTTCCTTATCATCATATCACTATTTTAAAATATTTATTTATTTATTTATTTAATTTTTGCTGGGGGGGGTACCCACAGAGGCCAAAGGAGGGTGTTGGATTCGATATAACTGGAGTCACTGGCAGCCTAATATGGGTGCATGGAATGGAACACTAGTTCTCTGAAAGTGCAGCAAGCTTTTAACAACTGGAGCCTTCACTCCAGTCTTTATACAGACGACAGGATAATGTTTTCAACTCTCTTGCTCCTTTGACATTCTGAAGCACACACCTAGCAAACTCCAGCACTGTTTTGTCAGACATCAAAGCTATCAAACACTGTTGAGAAACAACCAGGACCATATGAACTAATCCTACTAATTCAGTGTGCCCTTGCTTTGAGTAGAGTTTCTTGAACCTTCTTATGGCACTGAAAATTTTCTATGGGCCCTACCCAATTTCCTCTTCTATTACAGCATTTTCAAGTCTGACAATTCACCTAAAACTTCTTGAATTCCTCTAACCATTACACTCTGCAGATAATTCACTTCCTGTTTCAGAGAGAAAACAAATACCAAGATTGAACTTCTGCACTGCGAACTACCCACTTACCCATGGTAACCAAAACTGTTCTCACTTCTCTTCCCCACTGGCATCAAAGGAGGTGAGTTCTCTTCCCTCTTGTCTAGAGTCTTTTGCGTTTTGGACACCCTGCCTTCTCTGGGTTATCTCCAGTTACCTCTATTTCAAATCTCCCTTCTGTTGTCTCATTCCAAAGGTGTTAAACTGTCTCCCATTTATGAAGAAAGACAAATGATAAAGAATAAATTTCTCATTTCACTCTACATCCTTCTCTTAACTTCATTTTCTCAAAGATGAACATTACTTCACCATTGTTATTATTTGTGGTGCTGGGGTCATGGAGTCCAGGGCTTTATATATGTTAGGCATATTACCATGGAGCCACATGCCAGCTCTACAAAAAGTCTTACATCAGTAGAAAACAAGTCCCTTTATTTTCTCACCCATGAGTGCTAAACAGATACTATAGAATTTCTGCCTTCTCTTCACTCTTGAGACTGAGTGTGAGCTATAATGTCCACATCCTTGACTTCAAGTATCAGTGCTTTTAACCTCTGTATTTCATCCTGGATTTTGCTCCTGACTTCCAGAATGCTGTCTCTTAAGCTCACAAATGGTTAATACATTTGGTTCCCAGAACAATTCGTTTTGCTCCAGACACATCTATTGATTTTTCTAATTTATTCGTCTTTCAAGGTATCCCTGTATAAAAGAACTAAGGGCCAAATGTCTATATGTTTTATTTTCCTGAGGTTTTAAGACCTTATTTTACCCATATTTATCTATTTATGGCCCAGAAGAGTGAACAGCAAGTGGTAAGCTCTCAGTAATTATTCAACATTGTAGGAGCATCTCCAGCATTTCCCTGTCTCCCATCCTTCACATCTTACCACAGAATTCATCATTACTTCAGCAGCTTCCTCCCAGCCTCAGCTTAATAATTTCTCTACAGAGGGTTTAGGAGCCACTTTATGGCTAGGAAGGAATGAGAGAGTTCTATATGACTTTCAGTTTTGTCTATGGACACTCTCACCACTATATTAGATATTTATGAACACATAGTATTGCCTACGCACATCAGTTTCATGTTACCTTTGGAACCATTGTTGTTTTTCCTCTTCCTTCTCCTCCTCCTCCTCCACCTTTGCTTTACTAGGCTTTTAGAATTCTGATTTTTTTAAAAACTCAACTTTTATTTATTTTTCTATTTATCTGTCCATTCGTTGCATGCCGTCCTGTGAACCACTAAACTGAACAAAGTGCTTCCTCCATGAGGTTCCCTTAGGTCTCAGTGTGTTAAGTTAAAATTATTTGGATATGTATCCACCCTTCTCCCAATAAGAGAATGCAAGCAGCTTCCTGGAAACTATTCTCTAATACATGGTAGAGCAACATTCATGCTAGAGCTCTAAACCATGCATCCTCAAGGACAGGAATGATGTCTTCTTTGTTCTTGTATTCCTGGCATCTATTGTGGCACCATCACACGAGTAAAATAAATATCAAACTAAATGGCATCTGTTGAGTTATACAGAAAACCTGTAAGAATTTCAAAAATTAGTAAGATATAAGTACCCTCAAGGAAGTTTATGACGTAGTAGAGTTGGAAAGATTAGGAAATAGAAAGGGACAAAACAAAGGAGGAAATAACTAAGAATTGAATAACTTGGAGCAGCTTTAGAATGCTGAAGAGCCTCTTTAAATCTTATCCCAGCAGTAAAAATATAGCCTCTTCCCAGAATTTGTAGCATATGAAAAACCAAATTAAGTGAATGTAAAGCAGTAACTCATAGAAGTTAAATTGGAAGATGTCTAATGTAAGCTCTGAACCCTGGACCACACCTTGCCCTATTTACCTGTTTAACAACTTACAGTCATAACTACATGTACCAAGAGTGATAATACAAATTTATTAAGGTTTTTCATACTTCTTTACTGATCAGAATATGTTTATATATCTACAAAATGGGTATAATAGAACTTAACCCAAGACCCTACTGTAAAAAGTTCTATGAAGCACACATACAACAATTAGTGTTATTTGGTAAGAAAAATAAATCTATGTGTTATCCATTATGGGGAAAAATAACTAATAACTATAGTAGACATATGAAAAGTATGCTAGTGGAATTAAAAAACAGATCATAAAACTAAAGAACAGGTCATAGGAACCAGCATTTGAGCTAAAGCAAAGTCAGAGATGTCAACCTCTGGTCTTCACACACATGGACACATGTGCACACACACACACACACACACACACAAACACACACACCACAAACACACAAATGCAAATAAAGAAAATGGGAAAAGTACTACTATAGATGAAAAAGTAAAGGATCAAAATGATTCTATTATATGAAACAATGAACAAAATCAACAAGATGACATTTTAACTTTAAAATTGATTGCATAAAATTTACAAATGACCCAGTACAATAATTGTTATTTTAAAAGACCTAGGGGCTTTAATTGTCTTTCATTTTAACTATAGGATGTTGAAGCTAAAAAGAAAACTAATGGGTTGAGGAGATAGCTAAGAGCAAAGTGCTTTCCTTGCAAGTGTGAGGACTGAGTTTGATCCCCAGCACTCTGGTAAAAAGTCAGGTAGTGTAGTGTGCTTGTAATCTTAGTGCTGGCAAGATGAGAGACAAGCAGGATCCTTGAGGCTCACTGGCCAGCCATCCTAACATAATATGCAATCCCAAGATCCCAGTGAGAGACCTTATCCCAAATCACTTAAGTAGAAGGCTCCTGAGAAATGACACCCAAGGTTGGTCTCTGGCCTCCACAAGCATGCGCGCGCATACACACACACACACACACACACACACACACACACACACACACACACGTACCTCCAGCACATACTTGTAGACCCTCACAGACCCTAAAACGCATACACATAAAAAGGAAAGGGGAAAAAACAAAAACATAACCATTAGCTGAATTAAAATGAGTGTAAGTATCAAAGGAAGAACCAGTCATTGGCCAGTATTCTGCAATGCTAGATATTTCTGAATTCTCTGTGTGCTTTAAAACATGTTGTTGTTTATTTATATAGGGCCTCTCTATGTAGCTCAGTTGGCTTCAGACTAAAGATCCTCCTGCCTTTGTTGCCTGGGTGCTGGGATTATAGGTCTGTGTACCTGTGTGACTTTTGAGAACAATAATAATCTGGAGTGTGAAGAGCCCAAGATAGAATAATAAAAGGCTACAAATATTTCCATTTAGAGAAGACCCATCGTAGTTAAAATTAAACTTTAAAAAAATTAAAAGTAAGGCATGTCTACCCATCCTTTAAAAGAACCAAAGGCTTCCCTCTTAGTACTACTACGACTGTGGGGCATTCCATAAGTGTTAGTACGTTGCATTTCATTTTCTCTTGTCTCAGATGTTTTCAAATCTCTAATTACCTTAGAGATTTTTATTAAGATATTTTCTACTCTTAGGGTTGGAGAGATAGCTCAGAAATTAATACTGGCTGCTCTTGCAGAGGACCAGAGTTTGGTTCCTGGTGTCTAGATGGCAGTTCATAACTCTCTATAACTCCAGTTCCAGGGACATCTAATGACCTCTTCTGGCTTCTGCACATACTAGGTATACATTTATACACATACGCATGAGGCAAACACCCATACACATAAAAATACATCATTTTAAAAGATGTTTTCTAATCGCAATTTATTCTTTGATCCATTGGTGGTTTTCTTTCAGAAATGTGCATTTTAATTTCCATATATTTTTGTATTTTATAATTTTCATTTTGTTACTGATTTCTAGTTTAATTTCACTGTGGCTGGAAGACATATTTGCATGCTTCAATCTTCTTCTTCTTCTTCTTCTTCTTCTTCTCCTACTCCTTCTCCTTCTCCTCTTTGTTTTTGTTTTGTTTTGTTTTGTTTTTGAGACAGGGTTTCTCTATGTAACAGCCCTCACTGTCCTGGAACTAGCTCTGTAGACTAGACTGGCCTCAAACTCACAGAGCTCCACCTGCCCCTGCTTCCCAAGTGCTGGGATGAGGGGTGTGTGCCACCACCCGGCTTTCTTAAATGTTTTAAGACTTGTTTTATTACTTGAAGTGTGCTCCATCTTAGGGAATGACCCATGAGCACTTGGGAAGAATGTGTATTTACATGGAATCACAAAGATTCTGGATCACCAAACAATACTGGGAAACAAGAATAAAGTTGGAGGTCTCAAACCTTTCTGATTTTAAAATTATGAAGACAGTACTGATACTATCATAAAAACAAATAGAGGCCAATGGAACAAAACAGAGCACCTAAAATTAAATCACAAAAGCAACAGGAAAGGATAGCCTCTTGCACTAATGGTATTCGGAGAACTAGAGAGCCACAAACAAAAGCCTGAAACTGGATCTCTATCTTGTGCTACACACAAAAACCAACTCAGTGTAAACTAAAGACTTAGGTATAAACCCTGAAAGCATAAAACCCCAAAAGGGAAACATAGGTGAAATATTCTTGATGCCAGTCTCAGCAGTGATTTCTTGGATATGACAGCAAAAAGCAACAACCAAAGCAAAAGCTGTCAAGTAGTACTGCATGAAGGCTCCTGCAAAAGCAAAAGAAATAAGTGAATGAACAAGCAGTGTGCAGAATGAGAGAAAAATTTGCGGCCTATGTATCTGTTAAGAAGTAATGATTCAAAATATATAAGAAATTCCTACAATTCCATTGCAAAAACAAACCAAATAAACTGATTTAAATATAAGGAAAATGAGGTGGTGAGAGGTTTCAATGGGTAAAGATACTAGCCACCAAGGCTGAAGACCTGAATTTGATCCCAAGACCCATACTGCCCATACTGTAGAAAGACAGACAGACAGACAGACAGACAGACACACACACACACACACACACACACACACAGAGTAAATAAATAAAATACAATAAAAATGTTAATGAGCAAAGGATGCAAACAGTCATCTCTCCAAAGACAGACTACAAATAGGCATCATTATATGAAAGAGTGCTCAACTTCAGTAGTCACTGGAAAAAGCAAATCAAAAGCTCAATAAGATATCACTTCATGCTGGGCGTTGGTAGTGCACGCCTTTAATCCCAGCACTCGGGAGGCAGAGGCAGGCGGATCTCTGTGAGTTCAAGGCCAGCCTGGTCTGCAGAGTGAGTTCCAGGATAGCCTCCAAAGCCACAGAGAAACCCTGTCTCAAAAAACCAAAAAAAAAAAAAAGATATCACTTCATACCTGTTCAGGTGGCTGTTAGACCCTGGGCAGGGGTGGGGGGGTGGGGGTGTAGGATATACAGAGTTTTAATTCTTCTGCACCGATGATGAGAATGTCAATAATGCAGCCATTGTGGAAAACAGTATGGAGGCTTAAAAACAAAAGGAGGCATTCCTGAGTATTTATCTAAAGGACTGAAATCAAGATTCCAAATATCTGCACTCCCACATTCACTGCAGTAGCACCCACAATAGCCAATATATGGAAACAGCCTAATTATCTATCACCAGATAAAAGAGTGACAGTGAGATGACTCACTGGGTAAAGGAACTTGACTCAAGCCTAATGACCTCAGTTTAACCTCTAGGACCCAATGGCAGGAGAGAACCAAGTTCCATAAGTTGTCCTCTCACTTCCACACGCCCTGACCTCCACATGAGAGCCTTGGAATGCACTGCCACCACCATCCCCTAATAAAAATACAGGAAAGTATTTTTTTAAAAACAGATGAATGAGAAAGAATGTGATGCATACAGTAATATTACCTCCGCCTTGAGAACAAAGGAAATTCTGCTATGTACAGCATCAAAGAACCCAGAAGACACTACACCAAGTGAAATAAGCTAGTCACAGAAGCACAGATACTACGGACTCCCATTCATACGAAGTATCTAAAATAGTCAAACTTACAGAAACAAAAGGCTGGCTGGCGACTAGCAGGGTCTGTACAGAAGAGGAAAGAAGAATTGCACAATGGGTATAAAGCTCCAGTTACACAGATGAGTAAGTTCTGGAGGTCAGTTGAATACCATACTAAAAATTTTAGACTAGACCTAAAGATAAGTGTTCTTACTTCTCACACAGAAGGGAAGTGGAGAAAGGTTTGGAGATGTAGGCATGTTATTACTTTGATCATTCTGATGGGTTTTATCCATATACATACAAATGTGCTCAAAGCCACCTAACTGTACATAATAAATACGTAGTTTTTAAATAAAAAGTAACTTCACTTCAATAAAGTTTTCAAAACTAGAAGTATCAAGCAAGATTCATTCAAGGAATCTCAATCCTCTAGTTTGTTCTAGAATAGTTTCTTACATACAATGCTACAAACATGTCCGGTGGCCTGTGTGAGTGATGCTTATTTCATAAACATCTTTATTTTATACTAGCAAGTACTTGAAATTGGCATGGGGTATAGATTTGGATTTTCTCATGTAGTTTCACTATGGTTATTATAAAAATGTAGTGTTCACTCTACCACTGTAACCTACTTTTCTAAACAAAAGCATCTAAACAATCATAATGAATAAACTTCACCCATTTTTTACTTGAATCTAAACCCAACCCTAAGTAAGCTCATAGCATATTGACCTGCCTTTGGTCCTGAAATAATAAAACAGGAAAATGCATGCATTCACAATCAAGAACAAATGGTATATATCTTGTTTTCCAACTGCACAAGCGGTTTTACTTCAGCAAAATGTGTGCATTGCCCAGTGAGCCATGAAGTTGCTTCTCCCTCCAATTCCCACCACCTTTTCGTGAGCTTGTTGTCAACTCCCATCTTGTCTATAAGTTGACTTTACTCATGCTAATTGAGTTGTACACTTTATTTTTGTCAGTCCACACTTCTCTCATCTCTTTTTCTGTACATTCATATCCTTTTACCTCTAGAAGTGTTTACTTATTTTACTCAACTTAATAATGAATATAGTAGACTCACAAGAATCATTTGGGAATGTTGCATTTGAAATGTCATATAATTAAGAATCTGGCAATTCAATTGTTCTACCTCACTTATTCTAAAAGCAGAGCTCAAAAGTTGACGGCCAGAAGTCCTTTCCTTTTTGTTTCCCTTCAACCTTTGAAGATGCGTGATTATAAAGAAAAAAGGAGAGAGATGAAGGGAAAAGAAAGAAGGAGTTAGATTAAATTAATAGCCTAAAATGTGCAGCAGGAAAGATGGGTCTGTGGACAAAGGCACATGCTACCAAATCTGATGGTCTGGGTTCAATATCCAGAACTCACAGGATGGAAGGAGACAAGCAACCCCTCCAAGTTGTCCTCCACATGCATGCTATAGCATGTTCACCCACACACTAGTACCCATACACAAATAAATAATCTACATAATTAAAAGGAATGAATAATTGCTAATATATATAGCTAACAATTCACAAGAAACACATCTTTTGGAACAGAGAAACGAAGCTGAATCATGTAGTCCAAAGTTAAAGAGCTGTAAATTAGGCTACATAGAGCTCTTCAGAGTGACAGTTACAACCTACTAGTCATTTTCAATGACACACCTGCCGCATTTCAATACAGGCAACATTGGTGTTTGGCTCACTTCTTCCTACCTCTGACCTCTCTTCCTGTAACCTACATACATGGGCACACTGACACTGAACTCTTTTGGTACTCTCTCAATCCTCTCTTCCTTCTGAACTCAAACCAGATCTTATCCCCAGACTGTGCAAGTAGGTGGTTGACTTAATTATCTGATTCAAATAATCAGATAAAAATGAGTCAATTTCTGCTTAAAGGGTAGCCTTTAAAGAGGAGGTTGCTTATTTTAGTGAGTCTTTGTGTACTTTCTGGCTCTGAAGTAAGTGGCTTTTTATCTATTCCCAAAGGAACCCACCCCCAGAACAATGAATAAACAGGAATTATCTCTTAACTAAGGTACATATGTGGGTTCCTGGCCTAGTTAGAGGCACCTCAAGTACCATTCTCATTGATCTAGAAATCTGTGTCAACCTTTTGGCCTTCTCCTACTTCTCCCCTAATGTTCAAAACAATATACCTCACAACAAAGTATAGAATTATTTGAGGAATTAAAGCTAAAAGCACAGAGAGTAGTGGATGGTTCAACAGCCAGCAAACTCTTCACTAAAAACAAAAAATGTGGTCAGAGATGGCGATATAGGTCAGTAGTAGAATGATTTGTCCAGCATGCACAAAGCCCTCGGTTCAATTCCCAGTAACACACAAACACAAACACAGAGAGAGAGGGGGGAGGGAGATATGCATTATTAAGACTCAGTGGGTCAGTGGGTAAAAGTGCTTGGCATGTAAGCCTAATGATTTGGGAGCCACCCCTAGAACACACACTGGAATGAGAGAATAGACTCCAGAAAGTTATTCTCTACCTCTACACACCTCCTTTGGCAACACATACACACACACACTAATAAATTAAATTTAAAATGTGTATATTATAGGATGAAAGGACCAGGGAAAACACCCTGACCCTGATCTGGGAACAGGAATTGAAATCCTGTCAATCCCCGAGATCCCTGAGGCCTCTGAGCATTAAATCCCACCAATTCTTGAGCACATACACACACACACACACACACACACACACACACACACACACACACACACACACACACACAAACCCCACCAATCTCAAGCCACCCTGGAAAGCTCTGCCTCCCAAGGAACCCTATATAAACTCTGTACCTTATTCAGTCTGCAGCCACCTCACCCCAGAGGCAGCCAACCTCCTGGATTCTTCTTTCCCAATAAATCTCTTAAGTGAGGTTTGTTGTGCCATGTGACAGTTTCATTAGAGTGAGGTCCAGCCAGCTGGAGCAGATGGGAGCAGAACTGCAACACTTCCCCTAGTGGAGAAGAATTGTTACACCCCATGAGACCTTAGCAAGCTGGACCGCCTCTGCTGGGGAAAACTGTCCCTTAAGCAAGCAGAACTGTAAAACTTTACAGACCTATGCAGAGATGAAACAGTTTTGCTGGGAAAACCCTTCCCTGCCCAGTTTGTTACATTGGGGAAACCTTTCCCTGGAGCAGAGTTATAAGCTGTAACACGTTCACAGTGACTTTGTGGTACTCCTTGCCTCCTGACTGCCATGATACCTTTCTATCTGAGCTGCAATGTATATAAATACATATAAACTAATTTTCATTACAAATTAAACCTACAGAAAAGTTGTAAGAACAACAATTAACTACCCTTTGTCTGGAATGTTTAACATTTGACACCTTTGTCATCATCTTTGCTGAACTATTTGAGAATAAACGACCTGTCGCTGTGGAATAATCCTTCTGTACGTTGTGAAGATGTGTTGCTCTCGTTGGTCTAATAAAGAGCTAACTGGCCAATAGCTAGGCAGGAAGTGGTTAGGTGGAAGAGCCAGACTGACAACACTGGGAGGAAGAATGGGGAGTTGCCAGCCAGATGCAGAGGAAGCAGGACATGTAGAAGGTGAGGTAGCAAGCCATGAGCTACATGGCAGCACATAAATTAACAAATATGGGTTATTTTAAGATGTAAGAGCTAGTTAGTAACAAAACAAAGCTACCAGCCAAGCATTTATAATTAATAATAAGACTCTGTGGTTATTTGGAAGCTTATTGGTGGCACAAAGCTGACTGGCAGGACGGAAAAGTCTGCCTACAGCTTACAATCACAAACTTTTATCCATAAATACTTCAGTGTGTATTGATTAATAAGGACACTTTCCTTCATAACACAGTACAAGGGTTAGAGTCAAGAAACTTAGCATTGAGGCCTAGAGAGAATGTTCAGTAGTTAAAATCAAGTACTGCTCTTGAAGAGGTCCTGAGTTCAGTACCCAGCACCCACACCAACACTACCTGTAACTCATAGGGGATCTAACATCCTTTTCTGGACCCCATAGCATCTGCGCTTACACATGCATGTAAATGCCCCCACTACCACACATATATAACTAAGAGGAAAATAAATCTTCTTTCAAATCAGCATTGAAACAACACTTTTATCTAATATACAACCCAATTCAATTTCCAACAATTGCCCTGACAGGATTCCTTGGTAACATGCTTTTCTGGGACCGTATGCTGCCTTTAGTGGCATGTCTAGTAAGAGAACTCTTCCTCAGCCTTTCTTTCATGTTAATGGCAACTTTAAGTGTACAAGCTAGCTAGAGGGTAGATTTTCTCAGTTTGTTTTTCTGGTTTGTTTCTTTGTGACAGATTCAGAATATGAGTTTTTACAGAGACAGCCTCTAAGAGATGTGTCCTGCTTACCTCATACCGGGGGCTCTTTGTGTTATTTAACTCCAATTGGTAACTTGGATATTCTCTCAGGAGAGTGTCAGATTTCTCCACTGTAAAGGTACGTTTGTTAATCCTCTGTAATGACCTTTTTAAATCCAAAGATATTTTGAGACTGTATAAATACCCTATTCTTCAACCAAACTTTACCCAATGACTTTAAGCACTCCATACGTCAGTTTCCTGAACTAAAAAAGAAGGAAAAAGAAAGAAAAAAAGAGGAATGGGAATACACATTGAGACATTTATGGGGGCTTATCACATATACCACATTTCTGAGAGCCTGTCTAAAAACAGTTAAAGTGAAAATATGCAATGCTGGTTCCTTTTTAAAATTTAATGTGGACTACACATGGTGATACCTGCCTTTAATCTCAGCCCTCAGGAGACAGATCTCTGTTAAGTATGAGCCAGCCTGGTCTACACAGCAAGTTGTAGGTTATCCAGGACTACATAATGAGATTGTCTCAAAAACAAGAAAACAATGTAGGGCCCAAGAGATGACTCATTGGCACCTGCAGCAAGCCTGACCACTTGAGTTCCATTTTCTAGGACCTAAATAGTGGAAATCGAGAACCCACAGTTTGTCCGATGACGTCTATAAAAAATAAATAAAATGTAAAAATATGTGTTGTAATTTATTTCCAAATTGTTCATTTCTGATGCTCAGTTTGTTTAGATTTGGCAATGATGAGTCCCTTCAAGCTGTATTCTCTTCTGACACATTCTTCCTGTTGTACACGCACACACAAAAAAATCTCCTTGCTTACTCATGTAAGTTCTTTCTAGGGCATCTTATACTTTCCCTGTCTGCCTTGGACTGAATCATTACTCCCAGCGAATTGGGTTCCTTTTAATGGAGAATGTGTAACCAGGAACCAAGGTCTGGACGCATATTATATATTTCAAGATATTAAAATGTCGCTGCCTACTTAGGTTACCATATGGAATACTGGTGTGATAATTTATGATTAGAATTCTAACTTTACCTGTGTGACGTTGGCAACTCTCTTCATTCTAGCAGCCTGCTGCATCATCTGGAAATAAATTGGATAGTTTTCAAGCGTTTACAAATTCCCAAACAGTTTGGGGAAGTATGGCAGAAGATATGGTCACCTCTCCCCCAGGGACACGCTCAAAGATGTGAAACTGTGCCTACGTTTTAGGGGTTCCAGGCTTCGAAACCCATCGATAATTCCGAATTCCGGATTTTAATCATCTCTAGGGTCTCGTCAGAGCTGGCATTCTTTTTGTAAGTGACCGACTGCTGTGAGTAGAAATCCTCACAGACGTTAAAAAGTGGAGAGACTTATATAGTAACGAGAAGGGGGCTAAAAAGAGCACAAAGAAAAGAGGCTGTGAGCAACGCGTTGCTCAGTCACGGTGTTCCTCGGGTTCCAAATTTAGCGCAGCAGTCTCCTGCGGGCGAGGTTTTGGCGGGAAGGGCCGCAGGCGGGCTGAGCACGTTAGGCGACCCTACAGGCGACGCGCAGGCGGCACGCTGCACCCTCCGCTCGGCCCACCAGGGCTCGCTCTTGCCCTTCTGCTGGAAGGAAGGAGGAAGGGGGCGGAGCGGACGGCGACCCCGCCCCCGGCCGCGGAGAGGAGGGAGGAGTAGGCTGAGGAGGGCGCCGCGGCCGGAAGCACAGTGCCCGCCCGAGCCGCGCGCCGCCCCTCCCTCCCGCCACCGACGTCGGCGCTGCAGCGGTAGCCATGGTGACCGGTGGAGGCCCGCCCCCGTCCCCTGCCCCGGCCCCCTGACGTCGGCGCACGTCAGCGCCGGCGCGCGCCTGGCTGGGCCCTGTGGGGCGGGAGGGAAGCTGCGCCGGAGCGAGCACCGCGGCCGTCGCCCGGAGCCCAGCCGCGCCGCCCGCCGTCCTCCAGCCTGCTCAGCGCCGCTTCGCGCCGGCCCGCTCGTTCGCGCTCCAGTTGCCGTGTCCTGCAGCGGGGGCCCAGCATGGTCATGGCGGATGGCCCGAGGCACTTGCAGCGCGGGCCGGTCCGGGTGGGGTTCTACGACATCGAGGGCACGCTGGGCAAGGGCAACTTCGCCGTGGTGAAGCTGGGGCGGCACCGGATCACCAAGACGGAGGTGCGGCACCACCGGGGTTCGGCGGGAGCCTGGCGTGGTTGCGCCCCGGGCGGGGAACGGCGGGCCTGGCACTGTGGGGACCGTGGGGTGCAGGTCTGGGGGAGGGTTGTCCCTGGGAAGCCACATAGGCTTCCGTCCCGAGCCTCCCACCCGGGGACCTGGTCTGTGGCCTCTGCTCCCAAGCCCAAGTTCCGCGTCTTCCCGGCTTTCAACTGGGGGTGGGGTGGGAGGGGAAGTCTCGCTGCTCCGGGTCCGCACGGGGACCAACGACGCCGGTGGGAGAAGGGGACCGGCAGCTCCCGGACTTGGCGGACACGGAGCGCGACCCAATCAGGAGTCCCTCGCTGCTAGGAGAAAAGGGGCGCCGCGGACCCGACCGGTGCGGACGGACCGCTGTCCATTTTCTTTGCTTTGGGCCCGCAGGGTCTCTGATTTGGTGCCTGACTGGCTTGACTTATGCCGGGGGTATATCTAATACTCCAGACAATAGAACTGGTTGAAAATGGTCATCTCAGCTCTGCACCGTCGTCTGGGGTTGTCCCCTTACCTAAGGTGTGCATACTGACTCCGAGCACGCATTCCTTAAGCCACATCAGTTGGACTACTCAGAAAACCCTCAACTGGTTCCTTACAGTGACTCCAACATCCCCCTCCATGGTACATTCTAATGCACCGCGCATATTTTCTCCCCGAGTCTCTGTTCTTACCTAGCCCACCCCCTTCCTTCCATTGCCTCAAGCTGCTCTCCTCGGGGTCTCTATTTTAAGACGTGCAAATTAAATACCTTGGAAAAAACGTTAGAAACAAAACCGCTTTTTTAAACTACAACCTAGTGGTTTTGACGTACTCTGTTCTGCCTTATGATTGTCACTGCAGTTTCACCGGTTTTCAGTTTCTCTCCCCAGATTTCATCTCGACCGGGTTTTTTCCCTAGTACGTTCTTAAGAACGTTCTAGCCTTTGAATGTAGAACTCCCCCCCCCCAGGATGACTTACGTAAGGTGAAGGGCATTTAAAAGCCTGAATGTTTTCTTAGCAGTAGTACTTAGAAGTTTTGATTCGTGTCCATTTTCATAAAGGAGGATATGTCCGACATGTGTTCACTTTTTGTTTTGCATCACGGATCCCTGCCGCACCACCTAAATCTGACTTCTTTAGGGCATCAGTACCAAGGTCAAAAATTTTCCTTTCACAAATTTACTATTGTTAGGAATCTAGATTGTTAGTAATGATAATGTGAGCATATTGACATTACCAAATTGTTGCATAGCTGAATATGATCCTGGCACTTTTTTAAAAAATGAATAAAGTTATTTTGTTCTTGTAAAGAGTTACGGACAAACTGTCATACCTTTGCCTCTATGTTAAATAAAAAGGAAGTGCCTTAAATGGGTATCTTTATGAGTCTTTTTCAGTGACTGCCAAAAATGACACGTTACAGAGAGTCTGTAAACTTTTTGGTGATAATCATTGTGTGGTTGGATACCAAATCCAGTAGCTCACATTTCTTTTTAGCAATATTTAGTGGTCATCTGTTGTCTGTCAGACTTAGTTAAAGTGGTATAAGTGCTTTAACTATCCTACTTTAGAGAGCTGCTGAAGTGGAGCTCATGGGAACTGACACTTTCTTGAGGGTCACAATCCAGATGGTGTCCGTTTCAAACTGGTATTTCTTAGGAAACGAGGTAGGGGGCACTGTGGAGTAACCCTGCCTGTGACTGTCAGGTCAGTTACATTTGTGATTGAAGACACCTGTCAGATCATCAAAGAGCTTGTGGACCCTAAGGTGTGTGTGTAGTATGTGTGTATCAAGTTGTTTTATGCTAAAAGCTGAACGTTTAGCCTACAGATTCCTCCCTCGTGCTTTTCTATTTTTACAGTGGGCGAGAATGAACGTTTTTTGTGGTAATTTTGTGATTGTCCACACTAAGGCACAGAAAGGTGAAATAGTCTAGTAGTTACTGTACAGAAAAGTCTGTGGATGTTCTAGTTTGCAAAGTGGTTCTCTGACGTTTTATAGGGAGGTTACATGAAGACTTGTTTAGTAAGAATGTGGATTCAGTTTCTAAAAGTATAACATTTGTTTTCAGTGAGTTCTTTCTTTAGAATATTGTTTATTTACTAAATATTTGTATCTTTGATAAATAGAACCACCCTGCAAACTATAGTGAAAATTTCAACTCTTACATTATTTTAGATCTCATTGCTTAACATACTATATCTAGTTTATTACAGTGAGAACAGCTAATATAGTATAAAGAAAACTATTAGCAAAATGTGATTATATTTACTGCTTATGGAAACTTTATATACTGTATTTTAGCATTGTAGGATTATGTATTTTAGAACTTGATCTTTTTTTTCCTTCAAGTACAATCCTTAGCCAATTTTTAAAAAGTCAGTTTTATTACACAGACACACACATGTGCAAGCATATTGCAGGAGCTGGTTCTTTCCTTCAACCATGTAGGTGCTAGGGATCAGACTCAGATAATCAGGATTGGCAGCAAGTGTCTTTATTCTCTGACCATCTTGACACTCCCTGAGATAAATCTTAGGGCTGAGTTTTAACACTCAAGTTAATTTTGTAGAGCTTGGGAGAAGTCTGTTTCCCTTTTAGGAAAAAATAGTATACAAAAGAGACATTAATTTTGTTCTAATTATGTCATCTGAAGCAGTATTCATGTGCTAGATCTCTGTGTAAATTTTGCACACAAAAGGGAAGGCAAGGGGGTGGTAGAATCTAGCTTCCTAATATAATAATTCATAAAGTCTTTGCAGAGCTGGTTTATGAATTACAGAAGCTAACTTAGTAAAATTAGCACAATGGGAAAAGAATAACACCATTTAGGCTATTAAACTATATTTGGTGACAGTGGTTGCTAGTTTTCTATTCTGTGGATGTCCTTGAGTAGTGTTTTATAAATACTTTATTAGGAAGTAACTTTCCCCTTCTAGTTAACTGTATAGTTAGTTCAAGGGTGGAGTTGTTTTCTTTTTGTTGGGACTTTTAAGGGGGGGGGTCTAAGTACAATTCTAGGAAAATTATTTGTACCCATAAGTGCTCTCTTGTCTGTTAAAGAATGTTTAATACAGTAAATGTTAAGAATAAAGGAGAGCATAGTACGCCAAAAGTATGTAGTTTCCCAACTAGTGGGAATATATTGTTCTTATGACGTCACATTGCCCATGCATTTTCCTTATTCTGTATAACTTTATAACAGCATTTTAGTAGGCCAGTATTCTATCTTGTACATCACCCATTTTACTTATGACTCTTACTGAATATTTTATTATGTTCAGTCTTCAACAATTGACAAGGAACACAATTGTGTATGTAAATCTGTGTCTGCACTTTAAATGTTTTTAGGGGTAAGGAATTGCTGGTAATTTTCAGAAGAGAGATTACTAAATGAGAAGGTTTAATTTTTACATTTGAGAATTTTTATTAGTTTATCATGTTTATTATTGAAAATTTTGAAAGTCCAGGTAAATGAAAATAATTACCTATACTATCAGTACCCAGAGATAACCACCATTATTATATTCAAATCCCTCCCTTTACAGATAACTTGACTTTTCCTCAATACCATATTTTTTTGTGTTGCTTACCTCCAAAGTCATATGAAGGCAAGTGTACAGAAACTTTGGAGACGTTCTGAAAGTTACATTGTTAATGTGGCCTATAGAGGTTAGGCTGCTTGCTTACCCCTGAGAGAACCTGGACTCAGACAGCTGTCAAGGGCTGTCTGCAAACTACCTTTGTGCACTGAAGTTTCTGTGTGTCTTTTGTGACTTGGATATTCGGGCACAATTCTCAGACAACCACCTTAAAGTGTAGAATTTTGTAATGCTTTCCAAAAGGAAAGTTCAAAATGTTGTTTTTATAGCAAGGATAGAAACAAAAAGAGGGGGTGTATTAAGCCATGAGTGTGGTATTTCTTTTGAATACAGTTGGGTTTTAAATTTTGCTTTGACATTCTATAACTCTTTTCAGTAGCTTTGGTATTAGTCTTGTGCTGCAAAAATACTCCAGATTTCAAGAAGTAGCTGTTCTATGCGCAGTAGGAGGACCTGTGGCTAAATACATTAACCACTAACATTTGAATCTAGGCTTGTACATGATCTTCACTTGTGTGTTGAAATAGGACTTGATTTGTCGTTAGACTGTTCACTAGTTTCTAGGCTCATAGACAAGTAATAATTGTTAAATTGTTTTGCTAAATATTATTAAAATTTTCTTTTGAAGAATGGCAAAGAAATATTCACAGCAAGAGCTGTGTAAATTTTTAAACTCTGTGTGTGTGTGTGAGAGAGAGAGAGAGAGAGAGAGAGAGAGAGAGAGAGAGAGAGAGAGAGAGAGAGAGAGAGAGAGATGTGATGAGGGACATGTGCATGCTATGGCACTGTGGCACACGTGTGGAAACCAGAGGACAATTTTGTAGAATCAGATCTCTCCTTCAACTCTTACATGGGTCCTTGGACTTGGACTTGAACTCAGGTCATTGGGCTAATATAGCAAATGCTTTTCCCCACTGAGCTGGCCCTAGGTTGTGTAAATTTCTGTGTCCTGTAGAAATTTTTAACTTTAGCAGAGTTTAGTGTGTTCTGATTTTGAGTCCTCTAAGGAATTCTATCTTGGCACCAGGCAATTAAGAAAACATTTATTTGGAAATCATGAAACTGGCCTCCTTGAACTCAGTTGATAGTTGATGTCATTTGATTTATGGCACACTGCTGATTATAGTTTCCTTGGCATCAAATGGATTACAGAATTCCTTACAACACCTATTTTTCCTTTTTAATAGACTGCTTACCTTTCCTCCTACATATTTTTTAAATAAGTGATTTCTGTTAAAGTTTTTTCCGTTAAATATTCATGTAAAATACTTTCTATCCTTTATATCCAGCTATGATAGTTAAGATTGGAAGACAAAGGGGAATTTCATCAGAAACGCTTCATTTTAGAACATTGAAAGTTCTTTAGACAGATTAAGAAATGCATCTTAAGTAAATTAAACTGGGGACAACACCACTATGTTTTAAGTTCTTCTTAAAAGTAAACACTATCTACACGGTTCTACCCAGTTTCAGAAGTTAGGCCTGCTCATTATAGCCATTGTGGAAAGCCTGGAGAAGAAACTACACATTCTCACTTCTACTCTCAAAACTCAGGAAATGGATCATACCCTCTTCATTCACTTGTATTTTGTATGTTTGCAATAAAATAGATGTCACTATTCATATAACCTGTCCTTTTTATTTCACTTGTTATTAATATCTCCAAATTAAAAACAAACAACAACACCACCACCACCACCAACACTAAGACAGTGGTTCTCAACCTTCCTAGCACTTTGACCCTTTAACACAGTTCCTCATGTAGTGGTAACCCCTAACCATTATTATCGTTGCTACTTCATAACTAATTTTGCTACTGTTATGAATCGTAATGTAAATACCTGACATTCAGGATATGTGATATGCGACCCCTGTGAAAGGATCCATCAATCCCCAAGGGGTGATGACACACAGGTTGAGAATCATTGGTCTAAGGCAGCATTAGGAGACATCTTGCATGTCACTGGCCATATTTTAACTAATTTGCTATTACTAAAAATAAGGTTCATTTTTCTCTGTTGCAGTACTCTAAGTGTTCCAAAGGATATTCTTTTGCAAACATTTGCATACCTGATTTTTTTTCCCCTCAGAGCAGCTCCATTGCAATGGATGGAAGAGTCCATCCATTTCCTATCTTATGGCCTGAGATGCCACAATGCCCCAGTACCATCTACAAAAGCAATACTCATTAATTACCAGTAGGAAAAACTCCTTTAGGAATACTGCTTTATAGGGTTCTTTTTTACTGTTATTTTCCAATAGACAAAATTGTTTGTATTTTCTTTTTAAATTTGTATTTCATTGAGTACTTGGGTTGTAGTATTATGTATGTAATGGCTAATTGTGTTTTTTTGGCCTTTAGGCTCTCTTTTAATTTCCTTGTCTTTTATTTTAGAATTGTTGGAACGTTTTTAATGGGAAGTTATTTAAATCACTTCTTATACTCTTAGGAACTCTCAGTTCATATCATTATTTTCAGCTATTTGTATTTTTTAATTTAAGTGATATATTTAATTTATTCATACAGAAGTCCTTGTCATTAATTCAGATTATGCCCATTGGGTTCTTTTTCAGCACCAAAGTCCTCAGGCTTAGTGGAACATATGATTTTTTAAGGTCCTTTTTAGACTGTTGAATTTCTTCCTGGCAAACTTACAACCTATTTATATTTATCCAAATTTCTACAAAAATGACTGTCTCATCAAAACTTAGTTCATGTGGGCATTCGCTTTTCAATTTTTGCTAATGTAAAAGTGTAAATGGTATTTTTTTTGTTTTAAATATACAGTTTCCTGAGTATTTCTATGGTTGAATAATCAGCTGCTTTATGTAGAGTTTAAAATGATAACCATCTTTCTGATTTCTCATGTATGTCCTCCTATATTAGAGAGGAAGCCTTGCTTTTGCTCCTTAACGGAAGGAATTTTTTTTCCATACATCAAGTTCGTTTTTAAAAGACTGCGTATATAATCAAGTTAAAGAGTTAAAAAATGGTTCAGTTAACCAGTGAAGATCTTCAATTAACAGAATATTTTTGACCTTCTTGACTTTCTCTTGATCATGCATACTAAGTTTAGAACTATTAAAAAGTGGGAGATGGTATCCTGAAAAACTAAGTCTGTATGTATCTTTGAAATAAGCAATGTTTTGTAAGTGGGAGACTTTCAGTATGCTTTTGAGAAATTCCATTTTTTAATCAGTTTTATTCACCTTACTCTCACGGATATGATCAGTTTCTTGAGAATAGAAATCCCATCTGATTTGTTTTTGTATCTTAGGGATAGTATTTGGCATATAATAAATGTGTGATGAGTAAATTTTTTTTAATAGCAAGGAGATTGAATTTGGAATGAAAGACCTGAGGCCTTTTGTGTTTTGTCTGTCTGTCCACTCACTCACCTTAATTTGCTAGAGCTTTAAAATGTTTGCAGATTGTGTGACTTACTTTCTTTTGGGGGACAGAGCCAAGAAAGGTTTTGAGATTTGGACAGAGAGCCTCATGCATGCTAATGTGTAATGCCTTTTGAATCTCTGTTTCATCGGTTTCTAGTTATCCTACTTCCTTCATTTATTTGACAGAATTGAAAGATAAATGAGATAAAATGCATTTAAGGATCTTGTAAAATTAAGAAGTGTTATGGGGTTGGCAAACCCACTGTCATTATTACTGCATTTCTGAGAAGTTCTTGGCCAAGAGCTCCCTCAAGCTAGCAGAAATCCAATGGATCAGAAGTGCCACTCTTATGTCTGGGCATTAACTGTGCTATTTCTGTGCCTCTCATACAATTAGGTTTGGTTATGTGACTGAGTTCTAACTAGTGAAATGAGTGAAGCCTGCCCGTCAGAATCTCTCTGGAGGGCCTTTTAGAGCTTTTTCCCTTTTCTGTCTAGAATGGAGACAATCTTCAGAGTAGCTTTGGAAGCCACACCTTAAACATGGAAAAGCCTTTTTGAGCCATGTATGCCTGCTAATAATTCCACCCATTTAAGCCTGCTACATGAGCAAGACATAAACTTCTGTTGTGCTTGAATCTGTTACAGCAGTTAGACTGCCCTTGCTACAAGGATCATGGGAACACATTCCTTTCTTTAGAGAAACATAATCATCCTACAGGTGTCATATATAAGGAGTAATGGTGTACAACTCCACTTCCAGGAGGTCCAGTGGCTTCTGACCTCTGCAGGCACCTGCATTTACATGACTCACACAGACATACACATACATACGTTTTAAAAATTAAAGAGAAAAAGATATGTGCAAAATTTGACTTTTCTCTCAAATTCTCTTATATGGTTTTGACTTATCTCCTAATGGAAGCTTCTTTTGGTGAAAACAGTGCTGATGTCTAGACTTCAGACTGTAGGAAAGGACATTTCCTTGAAACATGATGTCTGTGAAACTCCGTGTTATCTTATAAAGAAGGTTGAAACTCCAACATGGCAGTTTTTATGGAAGTTGCCAGAAGTGAGTGATAACCCTGAATTCTATCACACGCTTAGAGTGTGAGGTCTCTGATGAGTGTGGTTGGAAGAGGTCCACTCACAGGCTCGAGGCAGGCAGTCACACTTACTGCTTCTCATAGTGAGCACAGCACTGTCACCAGCAGTCCATTTTGCTAGCAGCTGATATCAGTTTTCTACAATATTTTTATTTTGATTATGATAATGAAACAACAGCAGACATAATGAAAGTAGCTTTTCATAAAGGTACCTTAAAAAAAAAAAGACAAAGCGTAAAGCAGCCAGAAAGAAAGAAAGAAAAATGTGTGAATGGGAAGCTAAGGAAGTTGAATGACAAGCTGAGTCCTAGTTTCTTACATACTTTTTGGAAATGGCAAACTAGTAAAGCATGTACATTAATTGATATTAAAAGTTATGCTGAAGCAACGTAGGCTACTCAGTATTTGGAATTCTCTTTGCTAGAATGTGAAGTGCACTGTAGAGTTTCTTTAGAACTCACTAGAATTAAATACGGGGAGTTTCCAGTTATCAAATATCTTACTTGAAGCAGATTACCTTAGTCCAAAGCTTTGAATTTCTAAACATTGGCTCTTTTTAATTACATTTTAAAAAATCATACAATTGTTTCTGAATACTTAATCATTTACCCTCAAATTCACCTTTGGATTCCTATTTAGTTGTGACAGAATCAGGTCACATTTTCTAAAGTTAAACTCCTAGAAAGTTAAAATTAATATAGTTATTCACATTTGAAGTCTTGCATTTTAGTATGTTAATAGATTTTAATTCAGCTGATATTGCTTCATATAGATTAGCTTTAATATTTTACATTTCAGATTTTTCTTTTTCAAAAATGTGCATCTGTGGGGAGGATCTGAGAGGAGTTGTGGCAGGGGACACATTTGAAAAAAATGTTAATAAAAATAAAAAGGCTTTCAGAGACTGGAGAAAAGTGTATTTGTATATTCCTTGGGTTTGGTCACTTTCTTAGAAACTGCCATCTCAGTTGCTTCCCACTTGATAGATACGTACTCCGTAGGTAATTCATTGCTTGAAAGTGCTAAGACTTTTCAGTTTAAAGTAACTTTGAAAAGTTGTTTTCCACAGCACACTAAAGACTCTCAGACAAAAAAAAAAAACTATTGTGTATTATAAATACTAGAAGCTTAAGAAATGTGTTGCATAAATGAACAAATGAACATTTGAATTAAATTAGCTATCAATGTTACAGACATCTACAGGCAGCGTCTCAGATGTCATTTACTAAGTCTTAACTGGAAATGTTAACCATTATATATTAATTGTATTTATGTGTGTTCTGGACTGCAGGTGGCTATAAAAATAATAGATAAATCTCAACTGGATGCGGTAAACCTTGAGAAAATCTACCGAGAAGTACAAATAATGAAACTGCTCGACCATCCTCACATAATCAAACTTTATCAGGTATGGCTTAGCCTTCTCTCTTTTTATGCTTTTCCACATCCAAGTATCTTGTTTTCATTGTGATTTTTACTTTTATGCCAGTTTTTCTAGTCTATCAAAGAAATGTTTTCTTAAGCTAAATGTTACCTCTTTCTATATATTTAAATTTGTAAAAAAAAATGAAACTAGGAAGCTACTTGGTAATTTAACCTTAAGTTGTCTTTTAGATTACTAGCTAACTGTTATTGGCAGTTGTGCCTGAACTTGCTGGATTTTCAAAGGTAATGGTTGTTAGTATTCAGGCATCTGTACTGGCCTGTCCTTGGGGTTCTGACAGGATACATCCTTAGCTGCAGCCACTAAGAGCTCCACATTCACTAGTTCCCTTTTAAAAGGGCCCTCCTCACCTCCCATTTTCTCTCTTTCTCTCTCTCCCCCGCCTCTCTGTCTCTCTCTTCTCTTCTGCTGATTCTGTACCCAGAGGTGGGTCTTCCCTCTCTCCTCCCCCTTTTCCCATTCATTCCCCCCCCCCCCCAAAATAGAAACCCTCCACCCAAGCTCTGTTGAATCGTGTCTTTCTCTTAAGTGCTGCTTCTTTAAAATACAATGGTGGTACCATAAATAAGAATGTCATACCTTTGTTTATTTGAAAAGGTACTGTTTATGTGTTATGAAATACAAAGGCTAAAATAGTATAGTATATGGCTTAGAGACAAACTTTGTAATATGTAGATTCATGTCTTTTCTTCCTTTTTTATGAGTCATAAAAATAAGTCATTTTTCAGACTTTAGAGATCCCGCCAAGGAGGGCCTCACCCTCCCTGGGGAATGATGTGGGAATTGGGTGGGGGTTGGGGAGCTTGTGGGCTGGTGGAGGGACAAGGGAGGAGGGGTGGGAGAGGGAGCTGGGACTAACATGTGAAGCATTCATGTTTCTAATTTAAATAAAACCATTACAAAAAATAAGTCATTTTTTTAAAAATCAGTTTTAATAAGAAATTTTGTAAGCTGCATATAAATTTAAGCCATGTGTTTTAAAAGAAATTTTTACTCAGATTTTTAAAAAGCAGTATTTCATGTTTAATAATCAATAAACTATTTTTTAAAGTTTCTGTTAATTAATGTACCATATCTTTACATTGAAAATGGCTTTTAAGCTGAAAGGTCCCAGTATGCTGACCTGTGACTTTGATGCCCTATGATAGGTGTACCCATATTATGCCAGACTTTATCTGTACTAGTTTGTAAGACCAACTCATGAGTTTTCAGAAGTTTTGTTAGCAGATAAACATCATATTAAGTAACTCATACTCAGCACATGTTTATATCATAGGAGTGAAATTAAAACTCAGACCCTTTTCTCAGAGGATCAGTTTGCTATCACAGCATTGCACTCAGGTGGGCTACTAAATGTCTTTGGGATTATAAGAAAATCTTATAACTTTTAGTTTTATTATGTTCTTGAGTGCACTTTACACTGTGGTACACATACATAATTTGTTCTCTCTGTCTTCATATATATGTTTATAAATACATATATATGTGAATGTATATTATACACTTGCAAATAATGTTATTGAATGAAAATTCCAACTTGGAAATCATCAACTTGTGATAAGCCTCCTATGCATGCAAGAATATGTATATTGTGCCCCTCAAAATATGTCCTAAAATCCCCAAACTGTAGAGATGTAAGTCAAATTTACATCAGATTTTCCGTTAGCATTTGTTTTACATTTCTAAAGAAGATACTTCTATAATCATTTTAGAAGTACTGATGACCATGTTCTAAACTGATTCCTAACATGGTTCCCATGATATTGCCGCTGTATTTAAGTCAAGTCACTGTTTGATTTTTTTTTATCCCAAATTGTCAACAGCTCTTATTTATTTACTTATTTGATGAAGCATAGTCCTAAGCCTGTATTTCAGTGCAAAATTAGCTTGCAGCCTTTCAGTAGACAACTGTTAAGAGGTTAAAGGGCTAGAGACATAGATCCTTTGATAAAGTTTTTGACATTCAAACTAGATGACCTCAGTTTGGTCCCTAGAACCCACACAAAACTGGGGACCTGAGTTTGATCTCCAAAACCCATGTAAAAATGACAACAATAGTGATATACACTCAAAATCCCAGTGTAGGGAGTTGGAAACATGGGTCCTTGGGGCTTGCAGGGCCAGTCAGCCTAGCCTAATCAAGTGGATTTGGCGCAAAGAGAATTCTTGTCTTAGAAGACAAAGTGGATGGCTTCTGAGGAAAATCTGAAGCTGACCTCTGCCTTCCACACACTTGTGCAATACATGCATAAACATATACATGCCCCACACAAACATGCATACAGACCCTCACCCACACACACACACAAGTATACAGAAAAATAGTCTAAAAATTGCTTATTTTGAGTCTAAGCAGTGTCTGTTTGTATAGTAGAAAAATCAAGTTGGTAACAATGATACACTTTCTTTCTGAACCTAGAAAAGCTAATTTAAATGAAAATATACAGCAGTAAAGCTGTGAAGAAGCAGCTTGCAAACAATGCTTTAAAATTACAGTACCCTGTAGCAAAATTAACTAAAGTACAGTAGGGAAGAATGTAGATATCACATTGTGGTAGCTCAGCTAAACTATAGCCTTGATAACATAACACTCACAGCCTCAAGTGAAGAGGTAATGGGAAGATCTTCAGAACTTCTTTCTCCTGTATTCGCCTCCTTAAACTTGAGTAGGTGTGCATAGGAATCTCTTATTAAAATGTCAGTTCTAGCCAGGCCGTGGTGGTGCACGCCTTTAATCTCAGCACTAGGAGACAGAGACAGGTGGATTTCTGTGAGTTTGAGGTCAGCCAGAGCGAGCTCCAGGAGAGGTTCCAAAGCTACAGAGAAACCCTGTCTCAAACAAACAAGAAAGTCAGTTCTAACCCAGCAGTACTAGAATCAGGCCTGAAATTCTGCATTTCTAGCAGGTACTAACTAGTAGCTGCTACAGCTATTCCATGGACCCATTCTTAGAACAAGGATCTAATAGTCACAAAAATGATGGGATGAGTATAAAATTAGACTTGTAAATGCTTCTGACTTCTGAATAGTTCATAACTTACTTTTACTAATTTTAATTTATGTAACCCTATAGAATGTGGTAAAGAAATCCTTCCTGTCTGACTAATGTGGGATCATTTATCAATAGGTAATGGAGACCAAAAGTATGTTATACCTTGTGACAGAGTATGCCAAAAACGGAGAAATTTTTGGTAAGTTTTTTTATTTACTTTTTTTGGAACTTGAAGAAGTCACTAGCCTGCATGAATGGGGTACTTCATACTAACTTTGAGATTATTTAAGAATTGACACTATTTTAAGTCTTAGACTGTAATAAAATACTAGGTAAGTTAAAATATGGACTGTAACTTATTTTCTTACATACATGATATTAACAGTACTTAATTTTTACTTGCATTAGAGAGCAGATAGTAAAAGAGGGATAAACTTTTCATATGATAAGAGAAATTTTATTACTTTTTTTTTGTACCATCCTGTTTATTGAGTCCTGCTATGGCTTGGCTTTTAGGGGATTTGTTGGTGGCCTTTGTAGCATGGGTTCTAATAGGTCTTAATAATAAAAACCAGGAGTCAGATATTAGGGGTGGGGGAAGCCAAAAATCAGAGAAGCCAAGCAGCTAACCACTATCTCTTACCTAAAACTGAATGAGTGATCCTGTCTCCACGAATCCTCAGACTGAATGCTTAGACTGACTACCTAAACTGCCATGAGCTTCTGTCTCTTGCTGCCTTATGTTCCTCTCTCTGCCTGGCCATATGCCTTCCTGTATCCACCTCCTTAGCGCTGGCATTAAAGGCATGTGTCACTCCAAGTGCTGAGATCACCTTTGTGTGAGCTCTTTCTCTTTCATACTGGATCAATTTCGTATAACCCAGGGTGGCCTTGAACTAACAGAGATCTGTCTGCCTCTGTCTCCCGAGTGCTGGGATTAAAGGTGTGTGCCACCACTGCCTGGCCTCTATGGTTAACTAGTGTGGCTAGCTTTGTACTCTGATCTTCAGGCAAGCTTTATTTGTTAGATCGTAAACAAAATATCACCACAAGCCATGTGTAATCTTGTGGCTCTTATGCTTAAGTCAGGCACTCACTGTAGCTGTAAGACCTCAGCATAAGTGGGTAGTTTTCAGGCATTTAACTGGCTTGCTATCGGTGTTCATGTACAAGTCTTTAACTTCCACAGTCTACCTTGAAAGTAACATTTGCCCCTGACACATAGTGTAAGAACTTTAAAATAAAAATAATGTACTTCTGCTTTGCCCTGCCTGACCATTATGGATTTGTCATATTGTACTTGTGTCTATTTTATAAAACACAATATAACATTGTTTTTAGTAGTGTATCCTTTTTAGTAGATATTTTAATCTTTTTAAAATCTTATTTATCAGAAGATGCCATTTCCACATTCCTGTGTATACATAAATATTTTCACTTTTATTTCTTTGGATACTAGTTTCACGCATGGTCATTTGCTTTTGGCCTTAAGGATTTTCTTAGTATTTCTTGTAGTGTGGGTGATGAAGTCCTTCAGTTTTTGTGTATCTAAAATAGTCTTTATCCTTTTCTGGTATAGAAGGTTGAACTGGAGCAGTTTCACTGATTTTAATGATTTGGTGATAATGTGTTTTATGTGTGGTTTTCTTCAAGATTCTTTGGTTTAGTGTTCACAAGTTGTTTGGACTTGTACATACAATGTTTTCATTGAATTTAAAAATTCTTCGGTCATTGTTTTCTTAACTTATTTCTGTCCCACCTGTTTCTCCTCTCCTTCAGAGTCTAGTCCAGTCTCGTCTCATCTTTAAAAAATTTTCGTTTCCTATGTTTCATTTTAGGTAGTCATGGTAGTTACTCTTGCTGTGTAATCAAGCTCATTAGTGTTTTATTCTGTAACATATAATCTATTTTTCTAGTTAAGTGTATTTTTCACCTCATGCACTGTATAAATTACAATTTGATTGGAACCGTGTGTGTGTGTGTGTGTGTGTGTGTGTGTGTTCCATGTCTTTACTTAGCTTTTGAGTTTGAACATCTCAAACAATTGCAATAACTTTTAATGTCCATGTCTGCTAATCTCCAGTATGTCTGGTTCAGCTCCGGATCAACTTTGATTGGCTACTGTTCTCTTTTGTTTTGAACATATTTTTCTACTTCTTTGCATGAAAGAATGGAGGGAGGGGGAGTGAAGGACGAGTGGTCAAAGAAAACCTCCCTGCAGTTTGCACAAATACTTTAAAGCGTGGTTCTGTACATGTGGAGAAAAGAGGATTATCAGGAGATAGAGAAGAACAAATGCAAAGTCCCTGAGGCCACAGAATTAATGTCTAAGGGTTAGGAAAGATGCCACCAGGGTTAGAAAGAAGAAAGCAGGAGGGGGACAAGAGGGACCAAAGAGAAAGACTAGTAGAAGATGCAGTCAGAAAGGTAAATGGGAGGAGGAGTAAGGAGCAGACTTAGGGGCTCTCCATCCATTGTAGAGACTTTAGGTGCTACTCAGATTTTCAGTAGTCATTCTTATTAAGATTTCAGCATGGGGCTGGAGAGATGGCTCAGTGGTTAAGAGTGAGCACTGGCTGCTCTCCCAGAGAACTCAGGTTCAATTGCTAGTACCTACATGGCAGCTGGACAGTAACTCTCTGACCTTCATGGACATCAGGCATGTATGTGATATACAGACATATGTACAGGCAAAACACCCATACATATAAAATAAAATAGACTTCAACAGTCAATTTACTGCCTGAGTCAGTATCTTTAAATCATCCCTGAGACACACTGTTGTTTTCAGAGTAGATTGTACTTGGAAGGTGTAGAAACCAAAGATCTGGTTGGAGGGTGTTGAAGTAGTTGCTAACACCTCTGTTTAGGATGTAAAGTAATATAGGGAATCATTGGTGTGTGTGTGTGTGTGTGTGTGCGCGTGTGTGCATGTGTGTGTGTGCATGTGTTTTGCACATGTGTACATGTGGAAACACAGACATCAAGTGTCTTCTTTAGTTACTCTACAGCTTCTTTAATTTGAGACATGGTCCTACTGAACCTGGAACTTGCTGTTGCAGCGACACTGTCTGTCTAGCCAGCTCCAGAGATCCACTACCCAGCATTGGAATTACAGAAGCACACCACCATGCTAGAATGTTACATGGATACTGGGGACTTAAACTCAGATCCTCTACTGAACCTGTTTTTATATGTGGGTGCAGAGAATCTGAATTCAGATCCTAATGCCTGCACAGTAAGGACTTTACTGGCTGAGTTGCTCCTCTTCAGTATATATTTGGAAAGTAAAATCAGTCTGATTTCTTGTCACGTAGGACCACTTACAACAGTGTGTAATTATGGGCACTCAAATTAAAGAGTTAGGAAAAGAGGAGAAGAAAGTAGCAGATGAGACTAGAGAAAGGAAGAGAAAATGGCTTGCTAGAAACCATGTGAACCAAGTAGTCTCAGGAGGATGAGCGAGCATCTATGTCGAGTTACAGTGGTAGATCAAGAACAGTGAAGAACAGAAATTTACATCAACATTTGCAGTAGTGAGAACAATTTTGGAGGAGCAACTGGACCAAAAGCTAGATTAAAGATGTTTAGCAAACAAATAGGAGAAAATGGTGAGTGCACAGTAAGTTTTCAAGGAGAAAAATGGAGAGTAGTTCATAGAATCAGTGAAGTCAAGAGACAGCTTTATTAGCTTCTTACCCATTTTTAAAGCTCCTTTTCTTTTTTGGTATTTCAAGACAGGGTTTCTTTCTCTGTGTCCTGGAACTTACTTTGTAGACCAGGCTGGTCTCAAACTCACAGAGATCCACCTGCCTCTGCCTCCAGAGTGCTGGGATTAAAGGTGTGCGCTACCACCACCCAGCTAGTTTTTAAAGCTTTAAGCTATAGTTTTATTAAACCAGAAATAGTTTTACATGTTAGGTGTCATTTTTATGAAAGGGGGATGGTCTCAATTTTTCATTTTTGTTGATATCTTTGAAACAAGCTTGGGTCACACCCATATATAAATTGAGGCACACTTTGTGGACTTTTATATTAAAGGTGTATTCTTAAGGTAAATTATCTAGGGTAGATGTTCAATTTAAGTTCTATAAAGGAGAATCTGTTTTAGATAGAGAAGTTGGACAGAGAGTGTTAGTTAACTTTCCACTGTGGTACAGTTCATTTGAGTACTGAAGCCAGTGAGTAATAGAATTTAATTTTAAAATATGATGAAATCCTTGGATAATATTTACTGTTTAGAATGGAAGACTCTAGAGGAATCAGAGACCATTTAGTACAATTTATTTTTATTTATTTTGGCTTTGCCATTTATGTGGATTGTAGCCCAACAGAACTCAATGTCTTTTCTCACAAAAACTGTTTCTCCCTCTCTCTCTCTCTTTTTTTTTTTAACTTGGCTTCATCATGTGCCAAGTCTTCTAAGCTGGGATTCTTGGTGTCAGTGTTGATTTCATCTCCTGCCTCCGTCTTCCCATGGTTTGAAATTCTGCTTGCTGTGTCTCCTATATGTCTCTCAAAAAAACATGCATCTTCCTATCGTCCTTTCTCCCGTCTGTATTCTGCAGTTGTTAATTGATTCATTTAACACGGTCTCCAGAATGTTTGCAGAATTATCTGGTTTCCCCCACATCCTTTCTTTCTCTGTCTCTTTCTATGTTTGGGGCAAGGCCTCACTGTATAGCACAGGCCTCACATTTGCAATTCACCAGTTCTGCTTCTGCCTCCTTCAGAGTGTAGGATTCACTAGTATACCAGTATCCATGATCAGAGTAGCTTTCTAAAACGCAAGCATAGTCATGCTAGTTATCCTTATTTTCTAAGTTGTTTTAATGACCATTAAATGGAGGTGGGTATGAAGAGGGAGTAGTTTTGAAAGTAAGGTAATGGCATAAGAGCAGCTGTTAGAAAAAGATTAATTTTCATGTAGCTTGTATATGTGATAATATGTAGTTCAAGCAACATCTACCAAATAGTGAAAAATACATGTAAGATTTCAAATGAATTGAGCCAAAAATGTGTTAAGTCAGCTGGAGATATAATAAAAAGAAGCACATTTAAAACAGCATTGGAGTATTATTTTTGCTATATTTTAGTGTTTATCTTTCAGACTTAGGACTTTGGAATCACCTTTTACCTTTACAAGTAGACCTACTCTGTGCTGGGAGGGTGTAGTATTCCTTTTTATTACATCTTTTT